GGCAGGGGGGGGGGGGGACTTTTTGTGTCTGTCTGTCCGTCTGTCCGCTACATGCATACGAATCGATTACCGATCGCGAGGCATTGAGTGCATGTTGCACCGCCCTCTACCCTACCCAATTCACTTCACTGATCCATCCTGCCATCCATCCACACCACATACGCACCGACGAATTTTTGATCTCTGTTTTGATGTGATTGATGAATGCATTCTTTGGTTGCCAGCCGGCCCAACTGCCTGCCTGCCTGCGAGCGCGTGCCGCGTCCGCGTGCCTTTTTGTGTACAGATCTGGATGCGTTGTGGCGGGTGGCGGCTGGCAGGAAGGGAAAGAATGAAGGGAGAAAGGCACACTGAGCTTTATCTGTCTATTTGACGCAGCCAGAGGTAGGACTTGCCTCGCCTTGCCCGCCTCTTGGTTGGTTCGCTTCGTTGTCGGCGCAACGAAGCCAGAGAGGCGAGAGGCGAGAGGGGAGGGGAGAGCAGTGCAGTCGATAGGTGGATGGATGGATGGATCATTCAGTGTCTGTTGTGGTGGTGCTGTCTGTGGTGTCTGTCGTGTTGGTGCTTTCATGTCATGCAATGGATGCATCCGCCTCCCTAACGCTCATGTGGTTCATGACCAATGAATGGCATGTTCGATGACTGACTGACATGACGAGTGAGTGGTTTCGATGATCGCTGTCTGACTCAGTTGACTGTAGAATGACTGAGCGAGCGAGCAGGTGCACAGACCGACGAGTAGCCGTGTGTGTGGTGTAGGTCAGTCATGCGTGTGCCGATGCAGTCATGCAGCCCCGTCCTGGCTGGCCTGTGTGCATGTGTTGTGAGCGCTGCACTCGCTGTCAATGTGGCGGCTGGCCACGGCGGGCAGGCAAGAGACAAGGGGAGGGGGAGGGGACCTCACGATACCCATCCATCCATCCATCTGTGAATCTCTTTATTCATGTGTAAACCACGAACCTCGGCAGTAAAGTCACGCAACACAAAGTCCCTCTCACACAGCTCACAGCACACATTCGAGTGAGCATCACATCCGTGTGTAATCACTGAATGAGCCACGTCTAGCCTACAGAGAAGATTTAGCACACAAGACACTACTATACACCAGCAGGCAGCTCTCCTCCCCTCTCCCCTCCCCTCCCCAATTGGTCACACGACAAATACACACAGACATCGATCAGTCGCAGTCGCGTGAATGCGCTCAGCACTGATTGCCACTCGGTCGGTCTACTGGTAGAGGTCGTTCCACAGGAGTGAGTCGAAGACCTGCAGTGCGCTCCGCATCGGCAGCACGTTCCCCTGGTAAGCCTCCTCGATCACCATAGACACGTCACACGCCACGCGCACTCCGCCGCCGCCACCACCAGAACCAGCACCACCACCGGCACCGTCGACGAGCCTCACGTCGGCCCTCACTTGCCTCACCAACCCCCATGCAGAATAAAAAGTCGGATTCTCCTCGAAACTGCCTTCGAACCGCCACTCGCTCTCACACGCGGCCGAATCGCCATCCCCCCTCTCTCGCTCTTGTTGCTGCTCGTGAAGCGTCGCATCGGGCGGAGTGTGCAGCAGCAGAGGCTGGCGGAACAGCACAGCAAAGGTGCTGGTCAAGGGACACACCGCGCGGATACACACGTGAGGGCTTCTGGACGGCAGGCCGGCAAACCCCCTCTCGAGAAGTGCGGCTGCCCTGGGGGTCATCACGGCAGCAGGTCCGCTGAAGGAGACCTTGAACAAGGATAGGTCCCGAGTGAGCTCATCCAGCCGACGCCACTGCGACAGGAGGAGCCCCACATCCGTCGAAACGTCGCACAAGAGGTACACGGAGGAAGCCCGCGTCGTCGGCTCGTCCATCGGTGTAAGATCACGCCGAGCCAGCCGCTGCGCTGGGGTGGCACAGAAGCGCTTGTACAGCCGCGTGATGCTCGCCCTGTCTGTGCGGGGGAAGGCGCTCACGTCATCTTCATTGCCGCCATCCTGCTGCTGCTGCTGCTGCGCTATGTGGGTGCATAGTGCCGAGAAAGAAGGGAAGTCGCGCCGCATCAGCTGTGGGATGGGGAGGAGGGAGGCCGCTAGTGTTGTGCACGTCCCCATGGCCCTGCCGATGGTTCTGACATCGCAGAGGAGCATCCATGCCGAGGTGATGTCGGGATTCAGATCAGCAAGCATGAGATTGAGATCACTCACACGGCAGCCAGATCAGAGGGCACTGGCACGCAATGGCCAGATCTGCTGTTGCATTTCGGGTGCAGGTTCAACCGCTTTCGTCTCCCGTTTCGCGCAACCTAACCAAACCCTTGGGTCTCAGCGCGTCGTGCAGATTTCCCCTGGATGAGGCTTCAAAGTGCGCTGAGAGATGTGCTGTCCAGCGGCGGCGTCGCCACGCATGCGTGGCTGGCCATCCCCAGTACGCTGAGCGCCGAGGCAGCCGCCACGACAGCGGGGCTCACAGCGGCTGTTGTGGACATGCAGTGAGTATCCTTCACCGCCAGCTACTCGGAGCAATAGACAAACACACACATCTATCCATCCTCTGTCTGCCTGTCTGCTTCCGCGCGTATGTGTGCAGACATGGCATGATAGACTTCTCCGATGCGCTGCAGATGGTGTCGGCTCTGTCTGCCCATCCACCCACACCAGTGGCACGTATCCCGCACCAGTGGCCAGCTGCTGACGTATCGATGATACACAAGCTGCTCGACGCAGGCTACTTAGGTAAGTCCGCGCTTCAGTGTCACTTGACAAGTCGGCGTGCATCATCGACGTATGCTTCTCTTCTCTCTGTGTTTGTGCTGTGGCCAGGTCTCATTTGTCCATTGGTGGACACCGCCGAGCAGGCCCGTGCGTTCGTGGATGCGTGCGTGTATCCCCCGAAAGGCAGCCGCTCCTTCGGCCCCACGCGGGCGGGGATGGTCTATGGCGGCGGCGAGTACCTGAGAATGGCGGACGAGCTGATTGTCAAGCTGGTCATGATCGAAACCCAACAAGGTCTCGACAACCTCGAGGATATCCTGGCTGTCGAGGGCGTCGATGGGGCCTTCATTGGTGAGTCGAGCCACAATGACCCTTCGTACATTCATCGCTGCAATGTTTGTGTGTCGACCGATCGCCAAAGGTCCCAATGATCTGAGTTTGGCGCTGGGCGTCCCCCCGTCAGGCGCGCCGACCCATCCGAAGGTGGTGGCTGCCATCGAGAGGATCGGGCGGGAGTGCAGCAAGAGGGGCAAGGTGGCGGGCATCTGGTGCGGTGAGACGGGATTCGCCCTCGACATGGTAAAGAGAGACTTCCGTTTCGTGACGCTGGGCACCGACGTGGCGGCCATTTCGCAGCACCTGCGCGACAGCATGGAGAGGTTCAACAAACTGAGCTCCAGTGAATAATTCGTGTCGGTCGTGGCAGTGTGTTCAGAGGGGGGATAGACAGACGGTTTTTGTGTGATGCTGAATGGAATGATAGTAGCTATCGTGACAATGACATTGGGTGGCAGTGAATGACTGCAGTGACGCTGCATTAATTCATTACATGGCGTGAATGGACGAGCCCGACATGTTGGGCAAACAGCATCGTTACTCTCACACATACAGACAGTCTCCACCAAGCCAAGCTCCTGTCGAGCCGGCAATCCCTTAGTCCAATCGCGGGCACGAGTAGGACAGACACGTCTGTCAGGCGGATGCGTGTAGCATTAGCCACACAAGTCAAACAGGTAGATCATGAATGGCACCATGAAATGCACCTTGCATTTGCCCATTCACCCGCGTAACAAAACGCCCACGTGCACGCCGCCTGTCTTATCTATCAGGTTACTGACTGACAAAACAAGTCGGCCGCGGCCAGTAGGCACCGCACAGGCAGGCAGGCAGGCAGGTAGCGTAGCATTGAGTGTGTAAGTGTGCAGTGCATGCACGTATGAGCGTAGTCCGTCAGCATGAGCGATAAACCCAATAAGCGTGACACGCCAGCTGTTGCATCCATCAGCATGGCAGACCCCCGCTCCCTCCCTCCCCTCCCTCTCTCCCTCTTTGCCTCATTCATTCATCGTGTGGTCTGCGGCAGTGTGTATTCGATCTTCCCCCGGGCCTTGAGCTCTTGCGGCAGCAGAATCGCACGCAGGATCTGGTGGGTGGGGGTGGGCACACCCACCTTGCCGCCCAGACGGATCACCGCGCCGCTCAGCTCCTCCAGCTCACTTGGACGGCCGTCGACCACGTCCCTGTAAGTAAGATGCAGGTTTGCCGGCTTGAAGTGTGCACACGAGTGGGTGTGTACCGCAGCGTCGACGGCGTGCTGTTTTTGGGGAAGGTCTTGGCTGCACGGAGGAAGGGAGAATGACTCACTCGTGTAAGGCACGGGAAGCGCGTGTGTGTTCCTTTCTGTCTGTATGTCTGTATGTCTGTTTGTGCGTGGATGTACCTCTCTCTGCCATCGTTTCGGCCTCCGATTCACCCAGCTGCACTCCATAGGCCTTGGCCACAGCGACGATCTGACACACACAGACACACAGACACACACACATCTCATCGCATGTATCCGTGTGTCTGTATGACCGTTTGGCTGACTAGTGACCTCATTGAGTGCGGCTTTGATGACTTTGACGCACTCTGGTATGGAAGCAGCAGCAGGCAGAGGTGCACGGAAACACGCCATAGACGGACCGAAGGCGCCCATACCTGATGATGATGGCACACACCACACCACACCACACCGCAGTGCAGGCCGACCGTCTGTACCATCCATTCACAGCAACTCTCATTCTCACCCAGGAACTTCCTCCACATTGCCATTTCGATGTCCTCCGGGATGATAGCCTCCATCCCCTCACACGCATTCATCACGTCGGCGACCTCCTGCAGCCGACCAGACAATAACCTGCACACACAAACCAACTCGTGTCGTCACATGAAGGAACACGTATTGTCATCTCCCTCACTTGTTGCCCGCGTCGCCATCGGCCACACAGTTGGCGCCATTGGTGACGGTGCCGTTTCCCTTGTCTGTCGGCGTGACAGCGAAGAGGTCGGCGTAGTGACCCATCTTCGTCATGGGGCCGAACTCGATGATTGGCGTGATGGACAGGCTCTCACATGTGATGACGCCCGGCTCCGTGATGTAGGCAAATATCTTGCACAGGCCGCCCGTGACGACATCCCAACCCAGGAAGCTTGCCAGGACGATCTGGGCCTGCACGCACACATACTTGTGACATCCACGAACGCATGAAGCGGCCCAGCATGAGTTCGTGTGTGTGTGTGTGTGTGTGACCTCTATCCCGTTGCACAGCGGCACCACAACGGTGTCGGGCTTCAGCATGCCCTTCACGTGGGGAGCTATCTCACGAGCCTGCACACACAGACACACACACAGACACACACACAGACACACACAGAGGCCCAGGTGTCTGTGTTGTCGTTCGGGTGTCACGAATGCCACGCCATGTACCTGGAATGCTTTCACACCGACCAAGACCACATCCACTTTGCCGACGGACGCCGGGTCGTCTGTGGCATTCAGTTGCTCCGCAGGCACCGTGATCTTGCCCTTGGTGCCTGTGATAGTGAGGCCCTTCTCCTTCATCGCGTTGAGATGGTTGCCAGGACGGGCGATGAACAACACTTCATGCCCCGCCCGCCACAGGCAGGCACCGAAATACCCTCCCACGCCTCCTGGGAGACCACACGTCTGGATGAAAAGTCATGAAAGAAATGATTGTGGTTTGGCTCCCTACCTGATCCATACACAGCGAACCGCATCTGAACAGCCGATTTGGACACAGATCTCCTCTTAGCAAGGAGTTCAGCTCGCAGACGGCAGCAGGGTTTGCGGGGTTACGGGTTGAGAGGCCTCGCGGAGCTGCACGTTGTGTGAACCACGTCGGCCGCCCCCCGTTTTTGTTACTTTCGTCTGTACTTGATCTCCTCAGCGGTCCCGCCCGTCGCCCCGCACGCCCACCCCTCCCCCATCCATCGCACTATCGCACCCATCGCACTGAAATTCAGGTCCGTTGACTTGACAACACATGCGGGACAGGCATGATGGTGATCTTTTGAGTGCGTGATCTGACTCGTCAGATCTCTGAGTGCGTGTGTGTCCCCTGCAGGCATGATGGTGAAGGCGGCCACGGTGATCGTTCTTCTTGCATTCATCGCCCTCGCTGCAGCGAGCGGCACGAAGAACATGCGGTACTCTGACAGCAGCTACTACAGCAAGGACTCGTACGTGCCGGTGGACTCATACGGCAAGACCTCATCAACCTACTCCACTTATGACCACGGGCACTCGTCGTCCTATGGACACGGATACGCAGCACCCTCAGGTGGCAAGAAGGGCACGTACGCGCCCCCGACGACTGGCAAGAAGGATGTGCCGACCTCACCGCCCACCAAGAAGGACTACACGCCGCCGACGAAGGAGTCGACGATGAAGCCGCCCCCGAGCGGTGGCAAGAAGGGCAGCACCACGCCCACGCCCACCCCTCCCGCCGCTCCCACACCTTCACCTACACCGATGGCGGAGCCTGCAACACCTGTTGAGGAAACGCCGCCGAGTGTGACCATCGCTGACCTGGCTGCCAGCGAGCCGGTGAGTGAGCGGCTGGCTGGAGGGGAGAGCAGGGGAGGCAGATCTAGCACGGGAGGGGACAGATCTGGGTGGGTGTGGTGCCGCACATTCATGTAAGTAATACACGTGTGCGTGTGTGTGTTGTGTGTGTGCAGCGGCTGTCCACCCTGTTGGCTGCCGTGGAGGCTGCCGGCCTCATGGAAGACCTCCGCGGCCCTGGACCCATCACAGTGCGTCACCACACCACAACACCGCAACCACGCACGTCTGATTCTGATGTCCATTTCCTGCCCTCTGCCTTGATGCAATGACTACTCAGCTGTTCGCCCCCACCAACGAGGCCTTCGCAGCCATCCCCAACTTCCAGGAGATCTCAGCGGACACGGAGATTTTGTCGCAGATTCTCAAGTATCACGTTATCCCGGCCAGGCTGACCTCGTCGGACCTCACCGCCCAGCTGGCCGAGGCCGAGGTCATCGAGACCCGCACCGCCCTGGGGGCCGAGGAGACCGTGACAGTCACCGGGGAGGACGGCGACATCCTCATCAATGGCAACGTCAGGGTGGTCCAGCCAGACATCACCGCGTCCAACGGCATCGTCCACATTGTCGACTCTGTGCTCATCCCGCAGCTGGTGACTGACATGACTGACACACACAGAGGAGAGTGTGGCGGACATGTGTGTATGGTGTGAATGGGCATATGTGTGTGTGTGCGCTGGATGGATGAATGGGTGCAGCCCGCGCAGCTTCCTGAGGTGGAGACGGCTGCGCCCCCAGAAGCAGAGGAGCTGCCGGCCCTCTTGGACGTCGCGCAGGCCACCCCCGAGCTCTCCAGCCTCGTCACCGCCGTCGAGGCAGCCGACTTCTCGGAACTGCTCAGCCAAGACGGTAGGTATTTTGACATCAACGCACACACACGGAGGCCCCCACTGACCACACCCCCACCCATCCCTCTGTGTGTGCAGGTCCGTTCACTGTCTTCGCCCCCACCAACGAGGCGTTCACTGGCCTCGGCGAGACCTACAACGCTCTGCTCGAGCCCCAGGCCGAGGACGACCTCAAGACCGTCCTCGCGTACCACGTCGTGGGCGGCACCTTCACTGCCGCAGACGTCATCGAGTTGGCTGCCGACGGCCCCGCGACCCTCACGACGCTCCAGGGCTCTCCTCTGACGGTGCAGGTGGTGGACGGTGAGGTGTTTGTCAACCGTGCCAAGGTGATCCAGGCGGATGTGCAGGCGAGCAATGCGGTGGTGCACATCGTCAACGGCGTCCTCATCCCGCCACCAGACGGCGAGCAGGAGAGCGCTACGGCACCACCGTCGGAGGCCGAGTAACGGCAGCCGACTGCTGGCGGCGTGTGCGTGTTGTGTATGTTATGTATGTGTTGCCTCCCTGGCTGATCGACTGATTTGGCTGACTGTCTGTCTGTCCGTGTGGCGTGGCGTGGCGCGGCGTGCGTGAGTGCGTGTGTGCGTGGCATGGCACTAACACAACACGCTGAGCTAGGCTGTGCTGTCACTCAGTCACTCAATCACTCAATCGCTTTCAGCTATGTAAGCTTTTTTCCGGTCTCTTTGTCCGTCAACGTCAGTCAGTTTGTAAGCGAACGAGCGAACGGATAACGAACGAACCGATCCAGAAGAGGCCCTACCAGCCGCCCCACATGCCGTGTGTGTGCGTGTGGGGGTGGCCTGGTGTCTTGTCTTGGTGTGTCAGCCAGCCACAAGACGGTAGTTGCTGCATGGGTGTGTGGGGTGTGGTGGTGTGGGGTGTGTGTGCATACTACACGGCCGGCCATTGATGTCAGTCATGTGAAGCGATGTGAGTCCACGTACAGGGATAGACTAGCCACTCTGATCACCCGCTGTATTGCCTTCTTGCCTTCGTGCGCTGCTATGCTCTGTCTGCGTATCTCACCTCTCACCCATCCATCCACTCACCTGTCATGCCTTCCATGCTATGCCATGGTTCTGTCTGGGAGAAAGGGGCTTTTCCTCTGGTGGGTGAAGCGCTCCGTGGGCTCGACAGATCGGTGTTGGATCCATGTCCGTCTCGGCACGTGCAGGGGGCTTGTGTTGCGCCACAGGCAGTCTGTTCGTGCCGCTGCGGGGGATGATCTGACATCGATTGGTCGAGACACCACAAGGGATGCCATGCATTGCATATTTTGTCTCACACACACACACACGAATATCGTCGGCCCCCCATTGGCAGCTGGGTGCATGGGTGTACTTTTCTTCTACATGTCGGCCCTCCCCTCCCATTTCCTCCCTGCTGTACAGACGCAGGCACGTACAGCGGGCTGACGGGCCGGGCCAATGTATGCTGACGGGCATATGAGTGAAGGAGTGAGTGAGTGATGCCTTCATCCATCCATCCATCCTTCCTCAGTCATGTGATGGATGTGAAGCAAGGGGAAAGAAAGACTGAGACAGACAGTTTCATACGTACAATGCGAAGCGACGGAGAGATAAGATAAGACGTGGACGGACGCGATGCACGTGTGTGCATGTACGCGCGTGTGTGTGTGGGGGCGGGGGGCGTGGGCGGGTGTGGTGCTTTCCTGCGATGCGAGATGTGTTGGTTTCTTTCGTCCGGTGCATGCCATGCCATCCCATGTCATGTCATGCCATTTCATGCCAACGCCACGCCCCTGACAGTCAGCCATTGATTGATGATGTTTGTTGATGATGCTCTTATTCGTTTTTGGGGGGCGTTTCAGCAGCATCACACCACCACAGCACCGCGGGAGTTTTCTGCAAAAGGACGAGGCGATGGTTGGTGGCGGGCGGGAAAAGCTGTATAGCTTGGTGGGGGCTGGTGGGTGGGTGTCGTTTTGTGCGAATGAGTGACTGGTCGATCAACCGCGGGGCGGCCAGGCGGCCGTTGATTGATTGATTGATTTCATGTGTGTGGACTGCACGTGTGTGTGGATGCCCCACTCACACACTGTTTGACATGAATGAAGTGCACTGCATGGCATGGACACACGCGGACTCATCTTCTTTTTGACACGCAAGGCAGGCAAGCCGACTCAACGAATGAAAGTTTTTCAGTCCGACAGCATACATATTGTTCTGTCCTTACGTCAGTCGACCTCTTCACACACCACGCAATGCAGTCACTGTTGAAGCTTCAGAGAGTGCACCCGAGGGTAGTAGCCGTCAGCAGCCTGCACTTACAGACAGCGACATCACAACAAAAAGCGTCACCCCATGCACCCCCGCCCACCTGACCTGTCCCTGCATGCTCAAGAGCTCGATGGAGTGCACCGACTGACAACCGAGAACCGCCCCAGCACTCGCCAGCCCCGCCTGGAGAAGAGAAATTGCACATAGTCAGTCATCGGATACAGGTGACGCGTCTTCTCTGTCATAGACTGCACAGCACCTGTTGCCTCCATTTGTCTTCATCGACTGACGGAATGCCAAGCTTCTCGAGCTGCTGACGGAGAGGCCTGCGGACATGGACACACATGAAGGGGGACGGCGACGCGACAGGGTCGGCATCCATCTTAGATACCGTCGTTCGTCGCTTCGGAGTTTTCTGAGCCGCCTGACGCCCTGAGATGTCTTGAGAATAGTCAGGTGGGGCGTAAAGGGGGCAGGGCAATCCGAGTCCCTGCAGGCAGGCAGAATGAACCATCACGTCTGCATCCATCCACCCGTTCATCTATTTTTTGCCTTCTCCCTCCCTCACTCACCGTTGGAAGGCCTGGTGGCCCACAAAGGGGATCCCTCTCCTGACGAACACCTTGCCCATCAGCCGATGCAAAGCCGCCAGCCGCTCGGATGCCGCATCATCGACACAACCGTAGAGCACTCGTCGCCCTGGCCAACCCAACCAACACACACAGGCAGCATAGCACAATCAATGATGGAGTGATGGTATGCGTGGTGTACCTCTCTCTGAGTGTGTGTGGTCCGCTCGCTCACCGACCGAAGCTGCCGAGGCCAGGCACCGTCAGTTCGAAAGGCCGCGCGAGGCCAAGCCCATTGTCGCCTTGTTGCAGAAGGGCGTGCACTAGAGCCAAACAAAACGACCAGCAGAAGCACCCGCAGACCAATGCACACATGCCGTGCCAGCCACCGTCAAAGACACCCACCTTCTTGCAGTGCATCTGTGGCCCTCTCGACCAGGTCCTGGCTCTCCAGGCCACACACAAGCAAACTGGCAGGCAGGCAACACACAGGGAGGCCGGCGATCGAGAGCATTTCGTGTGAGCACGTTAGTTAGTGGTGTGCGAGGAGAGAGCATATCGGTGCTTGTGCTGGCTGACGAGATGTGCAGGCGCTGCAGTGGGATCCTGCAGCCGTCCAAGTGAGGATGCTCGCCAACCACATAGCTGCACGCACACCGCACACCGCTAATACCATCAGAGGTGTTTGCTTCTCCCCTTCAGCTGAGCTCACTCTTGTAGGCTCTCCGCGTGCGTTTGTATCTCATGACTGTCCACTCGCACACCCACAAAGTGCGTCAACCGAAAGCTCGACGGGATGCTCTCGCCGCCCTCGCCCTCACTGGCAGACTCACTGCTGCTGCTGCTGCTGCTTACAGACCGGCGCACGAAGCCGACGCCGAAGGGAGTGGCACGGGGCGTGATGAAAGAGGGCGACAGTGCCGTGATTAGCCTCCACACGCCGCTGTGCCTTTGCAGAACCGCACCACCCAAGGGCAAACACATGAGCAGCAGCAGAGATCCGATGAATTGGGACGTCTGGGAAGGCTTGTTCATGAGTCACGACTCATCTCAACTGCTTCGGGGATCAGATTCTACTGCCTGGCGCCTCAGGTCTGCGTCAGCCTCCCCTCTGACGTGCGAGCTTCAAGAAGCTTCCGCTTGTAGATCGAATCCTCTGAATTGTTCGTTTCATCGCAGAGCAGCATGCAGTGCTATTCAAGGGCTGTGTGAAGGTACCACATGCACTGTTCTTGCACACGCTTCACTTGGGGGTGGCATACGGCGGCCAACATCTGCGGCATGAATTGGCTGCGTGTGTGTGCCAGCTGGCGCTGGTGTGTCAGGCGAGGCCACTCGAGCATCGGCTGCAGCGAGGTGACCGTGATGCAGCAGCCGGATGCCAGCTGCATTGTGTTGTTGTGTTGTGTTGAGTACAGTGCAGATGACGGCTGCTGACGGCCTGGGTGCGCTTCGCAATGAGATCGATGCACTGCGCAAACGTCTGCAGACCCAGGTTAGCTGTGGGTGTCAGGAAGCGGTCATGCAGTTGGTGGATGCGGTCTCTTGACACACATACGCAGCTGAGCATCAAGGAGACAACCAAGGAGGCGGCGGTGATCATCCTGGACTGCGGCCGCACCATGGCGGCCAAACTCAACGACCAAGACGACACCAACAGAACACACTTCACACTCGCACAGGTAATAACGTACATCACACATGCTCCACACACACGGCCTCGATCACCGTGCACAAGTCTGACGGCTGGTTGATGGCAGCATGCAGGCTGCAGCACAAGCTGCTGCTGAACCCCAAGCAGCAGCTGGCCGTCGTCTGCATGGGGTTCACGGCTCGCGTGTAATGATGTGTTGTCTGGCTTGCGCATCAGGGACGAGCAACTCGATGCACGACGAGTCGGAGGGTGAGGGCTACCACAACATCACCACTCTCACATCCACCAAAAGAGGCGTACGTACGGACCGACACACATACAACCACACGACAATATGTGCGTGTGTTGTGTGCTCTGTGTGTGTGCGGGGGGGAAAGGGGGAGTTGGGTGAGGGTAGCATCGAGTTGGATCAGAAGTGCGAGAACGGCGAGAGCGACTTAATCGACGCCCTGTTCATAGGTATGTCCACGCCACGAGGAGCCAGCCGTCAGGGAGGGAGGGAGGGAGGGAGGGAGACGGTCGTGTGTTTCCGGGCTGTGTTGTGTTGCAGCGGGTGATCTGTTGGCGAGGGGCACTACTACCTGGGGTAGGCAGAGAAAGCAACGACACGCAAAGTCTGGCTGGCTGTGTGTCAGATCTACCTGTACACCAACGGCCTTTGCACACTCAACACCGATATATATACCACTGCTGGAGAAGAGGACGATGACATTGCTGAAGAGGACAATTGCATCACAAGAATCCTCCTAGGCAGGATGAAGGTACCCTACACGCCCAGCCCCCCACCCAGGCAGCCGCAACATGTGGTGGACTCTGCTGCCAGGAGATGGAGTGTCCTCTGTACACGGTCGGCGTCGGCTTCACCGGCGACACCAGTGCGGGGGGAGAAGGGACCTCAAGTGCGGCAGCAGCGGGGACCGATGTGGAAATGGCCGATGCGGAGCAGATCAGTGGAGGAGATGGACACAGGGTGGGTGGGTGAGGGAGCGACTTGTCACGACAGCAAAGAGGGTATGGGAGTGTATTCTTGTTGTGTAGGCTAAGGTGGAGGAGTTTCTGCAGCACATGGCCAACCAGACGGGTGGGTATGCATTCCATTCCATTCCATTCCATTGCATTGCATTGTGTTGTGTATTGTGTTGTGTTGTGTGCAGGTGGGATTGTGCAGCCGTCGACCAGTGGGCTGGTCGTGTTCTGAGCACAAATAAGGCACACTCATACCCACTCGATCGACGTAAGCAATCGGTGAGCGTTCTGGTAGGACGTGTTATTCGTGTGCACTCACTCCTGTGGCCCGCCCTCTGTCTGTCTTGTGTGTGTCGGATTGCAGACGATCGACGCGCAGACTTCCACTCATGGGCACACACAGAGATACAGAGAGATCGAGATACTTCGCAGCCCCTGTCGAGCTCGTGGGATGGGCAAGGCAGGAGGACTTGCCTGCGAATATTGCCGTGTATGAGTTCACGACTGACTCCTACTTCTTCTGGCTTATGGGAGTGAGTGCATTGGTGGTGGTGAATCTCGTGGCAAATTCGCCTTCGCCTGATCAGCCGATCGATCCATCCATTCACTCATTGTGGCATCAAGGGCCATCAGAGTCTCTCGCCGGCCACACACATGTGCACACGAGAGAGCCAGGGCATGGCACGCACCCACACACGCAATTGATAGTTCCTCTGCACACATTCATCATGGACACACACGAACGAACCGCCTCAAAACGACCCCCAATTAGCAATCCACCGATCGCCCCCTCTCTCCCACCCTCCCTCCCCCTTTGCTGCGAATTACTGTCTGTCTGTCTGATGATGCGGTCACGCCCACACACAACGACTGATCGTGTGCATCACGTCGATAAAGACATAGATAAGAGGGTGCACATCAACCGACCTGACCGCCACGAGTGGTGATGGAAGCCGCCACACACACAGTATCCACACCCCCACAGCATCAGTCGACAAATCGGCATCTTGCTCATCGCGAAAGTGTGTCGGGGTGCGTGTGTGTGTGTGTGTGTGGGTGTGGGTGTGGGTGTGTGTCAGTGGGCGGAGAGGGAAGCGGCAGACATCCATCATGGAACATTGAATCAATGTTGAATTATGTCAGGCTCTTTTGCCGAACGTCCTGAAGGCCAACAACAGCACATGATTGATCGTACGGTTGGTGTGTCCCTCCCTGTTTGTGTGTGTGTGTGTGTGTGTGTGTGAATGGCCTACGCTTTCTTGAATTCCGACGGGTTGAAGTCGCCCCACTCGTCGTTGTCCCACCTACACACCACACCACACACACCACACCACACACGCGATCTTGAGAGGCCGCAATGCAATCGCTCCTTTCTGTCGTCCTTCCCTCTGCCTATTTACCCTGCGGGCTCTTTCTCCCCCACACCACTATTGCCGGCGACCTGCTGAGCACCACCCGATGACGACCTGCACACCCACACAACCACCCACACTCACTCCCTCACTAGTGAGGCCTTCTATGTGTGGGTGCGTCGGTACGTCATATCATCAGCGGCATTGGGCACGATCCCCGCGCCCTCCTCGTCGTCGCCGAGCAGGTCAGTCTGGGGGCGGTGGGTGGCACGCGTGAAGGTCGATGGGGGCGCGGAGGAGGCCGGCGGGGGCAGCGAATCCGGGCCGAACCCCTGCATCTTCCCTGCACACACATGACACACATGCACACAGAGAGATGGCTGTGAGAGGGAATGGGTGGTTGTTCTGTGCCTGCATGGACGGACACTCACCGCTGCTGAGGTTTCTGAGTGCGTCGGCCGACGCCTGGCCTCTGGCGCTGACGGCCGGCCCGTCGTGCAGCTGCTCGCTGAACCAGTCGCTCGCCGAACCTATCCCCTGCACACACACATCACATACATGGACAGATGGATACACACCGACCGCACCAACCAACACATGACGACGTTTGCCATCCGCTGCTCGTGTGTGTGGTTTGTGTGTGTGTGCGTGCGTGTTGCGTGCCTTTTTGACGGTTCCGACGGCCCAGTTTGCAGTGTTGCTGATCTTGCCGGTGGTTGTCTTGATGAACTGCTCGTCCGTCACGGTGTCGGTCAGCTGCCGGCCCTTCTCGCCAACCCAGTGAGTCGTCTGACGGCCACGTCACGACACGCACACAGGGGCAGTGTAGCGCGTGTCATTGTCTCGTTCTGTTTGTTTCAGGCCTACTGTTCTGACGGTGTCGCCGACAGTCTCGAGGATGCCCTCTGTCTTGGCGCTCTCCACCGTCGCCTTGACCTTGTTGACAGCCTGACAACCGACAACGGCCAGAGCCAATGGAAGGGCGTACTTGCAGCCATGCAGCTGTCCGTCGTCACGCTTGGCCCACTCAACTCAACTCACCTTTCCTGCCAGGTTTTGCGCCGCCGACATGGCCGACCAGAGCCCCCCGCCCAGCGAGTCGAGATTGAAACTCGTCCCTGACCTGACACACACACACACAGACGCACACATTGCCCCGCAATGAAGGCCCGACCATGTCTGTTTGTCTGCACGTGTTTGTTGCCGCACCCACCCACCTGTCTCCCCCCTGGCCCTCCAGCCCGTTGGCATTCTGGAAATGTGGGTTGCCGAAGCCCTGCATCCCCCCACCGCCGCTCGAGCTGCTGCCGCCGCCTGTGGCCGGCCCGCCATAGTGATAACTTGACGAATACGGCCTGTTTGTTGACACAAACAGCAACACATTGGTGCGCGCACAGAGAGAGGGAGCGGTGTGTGCACAGAACAGACAGAGGCACCGTAGGTACCCTGCTGAGTTGGCGGTGCTGTTGGGCTGGTTGCTGCTGGTGCCAGACATGTCGGCTTTGGCCTGGCTGATTTCTGCTGATGGGTAGAGGTTGTTGGCGGCCGTCCTGGTGCTGCTACTGCTGCCGAGGGTCAGAGGGGCGGAGGAACCAGGCACTGATTGCAACGCACAGATACACACACAGAGGCTCCCATCTGCAGATGTGTGACTTGGTACCAGCTTCTTCCTGCCCCTCTCCCTTGGCGAGTGGCGGTGGCGGCTCTTTGCCCTCAGCCAGCGCACGCACCTGACAAAACGAACAGGCGCACGCCACTGAAGTTCAGTGTGTGTAGGCGTTAGTCAGTCTGTGTGAGGGTGTGTACCGTACCGACCGTCTCTCTGAAGTGTGCTGCCGCCTTGGTGTTGTACTTCTGCTTGATGGGCAGAGTGGACACACCCTGGTTGATTGATTGAATCACACATGTCATTCAGAGAGATGAACGGACATACATACCATAGGTGTGTGTGTGTGCCCACATGACATGCCCGGCGGGGTGTGGTGTCCAGTCCAGATAGCCTTAGTCACTTACGTGTTCCTCGAAGCAAGCTTTGAGTTTGGCGTTGCCGCCCATCTTCATCATCTTGAGCTGCTTCGCACTCCTGTGTGCGCACACAGAAGCATCCCATCCCAGACCGGTGTCTGCCCCTCTCACCCCTCTTTCTGTGTGTTGACTGACTCACCGACTGACTGACTGACTGACTGACTGACTGACCATGTGTCCATGGACGTTGATCTGACGAAGCTCAGATGGACACCCAAACCCCTGCAGGCACAGCACAGTCACACCACACGGACAGACAGCAGTGAGTGAAGCAGAGGGGTACCTTTTTCCCTTGGTGTGTGGGTAAGGTGGTTGCCTCCTTCCCTCCCTCCCTCCTGCCAACCTGTGTATGCCGGAACAGTTGAGGCAGATGAAGGTGCCATACGACACCGACGCCCACTGGGGATTCGCTGCGCCTGAGGAGAGGAGAGGAGAGGTGCACCCACACACAAGACTAGACTCTCTCGTGTGGTGTGCAGCTGACTGCCTGTCGTTGATCAGATCACTCACCGCAGTCAAAACACTTGTTGTTGCTTTTGTCTTCCTCCCGCAACCGCTTGAAGAACTTCTGCGTCTCGGGGTCCATTCTGCCTCCCCCTCCTCCTCCCCCTCACGATTGCGAGCTTCGCAACAGTCCCGGGGTCAGCCACAAGACAGAGTGCCTGGCCCGTGTACCCTTCTGTCCACGGCAATCTGCGAAATGAATCCCTCGGCGCCGAGAAAAACTCATGAGCATCAGCCAACAAGGCCAAGGAGGGATGCTGCACCGAGATCTGACGATGCAACCTCGTCAAGGAGGGCGTCAACGCTCCCATGGCACTGTCCACGGACGAGATCACCTTCTTCTCTGACTCGCTTCGCCCTGCTTGTTGCCGTGACGATGGCCTTGTTGATGTTGAGGATGGGTGCGGGTGCAGAAGACCGTCATTCTTCCAGCAAGAGACGGTCCTTCCTGCTCTCAATGATGGGGGTCAAGAGCGCCGCCGTCCGGCCACGGCGCAACGAGCCGTACCTGCTGGAGTTCCACAGCATCGACTGTGACCAGTGCGAGGTGGGCGGATGGGGTGAACACACATACTATCACGCAGCGCAGCGGCGGCATGCCATGCGTGTCGCTTTCATGTGATTTGCATCATTGATTGATTCCCTATCAGGACATGGAGCCGGTGTTGCGTCGCGTGGAGCGTGAGCTGCACACCAAGATAGAGCGGCTGGAGGTGTATCTGCACCCCGTCAACTGGGACCTACTGCAGAAGCTCGACAAGAAGGCCCGGTGCGGCGGGCTGCCCTACTACTACAACAGGCGGACCAACAAGTACATTTGCGGCGCCACCACCTACTCAAACTTCAAGGCATTCGCAGAGGGCAAACCCAGCCGGGCAAACCTCGCCCCGCCAGCCAAGCCGGAAGAATTGCAGGCATCCGGCAGGAAAACGGTAATGCGTTAATCGAAACCACCACACGCCCCGCTCGCAATCAAATCAGCATCCATCATGTGTTTTCATCTTGACTGTCTGTCTGTGTGCAGGGGGTGGTGGCCCGGTTCTTCAAGTCTGTCGAGCGTGTGCGCGAGGCGGGCCAGCAGCGGATGAAGGAGCGGCTGGAGGCCGAGATACAGAGGGAGGAGCAGCAGAGGGCCAAGCGCACCAAGGGCAAGGCGGCAGACAGCAAGAAGGGCAACGGCGGAGGCGCCAAGGCCGGGAGGGCGGCGAATCCAACGGTCGGCAGGGCACAGAGGGGATGAATGAGCTCAGAGAGAGTGCCCAGAGAAGTGAGGTGTTGCTGTTGAGATGTGGCGTGGGTGAGGTTTCTGCTTTCTTTGAGACAGATGACTGCATGGGTGGGAGTGGGACGTTTTCACACCAACCAACGAGATAAACACTATATGTGTCGGTCCATCCATTCGTATGTTCGATCCACACACATACGCACGGGAGAAAGCCTCACACACACACACACACACACACACGCGCGCGCGCGCCCCCGCGCGTAATAGCAATGGCAAACAAACGCTATAGGAAGTACTCTGGCATCTTCCGGACCACCTGTGGGCACATCAATACCATGACAGGGAGTGTGCACTGGGGTGTGTGGAGTGGGGAACCGGGTGGGTGGGTGTCTGTCAGCCTACTGACTTCAGGTTCGCCCCGTTTGGGTGCGGAGTCGAATGTCTGGAAGATGGGAGTCTCACACACGTCCTCCCCGACCTCCATTATCGCAGCCTATATCACATGTACCCCACACATAACATAACATCTGACATCACCCGTGACGTGGATGTGTGTGTGTGTGTGTGTGTGCCTGGTTGCCGCATCTGTAGCAGTAGTTTGGTGCGCTGAAGAGGGTAACCACCTTCTTCTCGTGAGCCCTGCACAACACAACACAACACAACCACGCGCATGACAGGCCATCCGTGTGTGTGATTGGGTGCGGTGTGGTGTGGTGTGGTTGACCAGCTGTATCCCTCCATGATGAGTTGGTGCGCCCTGGCGATGAACAGCAAGTCGTTCTTGTGCAGAAACTCATGGCTGATCTCCTTAACACACACAGACAGACAGAAGAACAACAGAAACCATTCAGATCGATCCGTCGAGTCGATGATGCATCCGATGGGTGGTCCGTGTGTCACTGCCCTGCCTGCTTCGCTTGCCTTTCCAAAGACCCACCCCGCTCCCCTCGGAGAGGGCTGCCACCTGCAGACAGCCCATGCATGGGTATCTCGCGTATCTCGGCAGCCAGCCTTTCACCGTGTGTGTGTGACCTGACTGACCTGGTGTCTTCGTTGTCAGGGTCGGACCACAGCAGGTCGCACATCATGCCCTCATGCGGCACCTCCTGGATCCTATCACACATATCCAACACACCACACACAAGGAAGGCACACCTTTGCCAAAGATCACCCAGCACCACTTTGTCAACCCATGGCTGGCTGTCCCCGGTGCAGTCAGTCCAGCTTAGCTTGCCTGTCGATTTGTTGTATCGAGTCGAGGTCCGACACTTGAGGCGACAGGCCCCCGTGGTCACAGAAGATCTTGTCGCCAACCAACGCAGTCAGCGGCAGGAAATCAAACGCATCTGGGCGTTGGAATATTGTATCAGGAAGTATCGACACACACACACACACACACACGAATCAAATCAACACACTCCTTGATGGTGATGGTACCTACCCCCCGTACCATCCATGCCATGCCATGCCATGCCCCCTCACCACACCACACCACACCACACCCCCTGCCTGGTCTGATCTGATCTAGCTAGCACCGATTTACCTGTGAAGTACTTCCACACGTTTGCGGAGCCGTATTTCCGCATGCACTCGTCGTAGAAGCCGTACACCTGCGTTATCTGACGACTCTCGTGGTTGCCGCGAAGAATCGTCACTGAAGCAAACAAACAAACAAACAAACAGCCAATCAAGAGAAACACACACACCACACACGCTATGTGTGTGTGAGAGAGAGAGAGTGTGTTGTGTGTGTGTGTGTGTGTGTGTGGTTGGCAGCCTCACCTTTATCTTTGTATCTGACTTTGAGTGCGGCGATGAGGCTGACGGTCTCCACCGAGTAGTAACCTCGGTCAACATAGTCACCCAAAAACAGAAAATTCGTGTCGGGCGGACGACCGCCTGCACCGCACCATGACAGACGCAGCACAGCACAGCACACAACACTTGTGTCTGTGTGTGCATCTCTCTCACGAGTGCAGTGCCTGCGTGGGTGGGGTGGGTGCTTGTGCCTAGTTACTGATTCTGAAGAGTTCTAAGACGTCGTAGAACTGCCCGTGTACGTCGCCAGCAACCGTCACGGGACACGTCACCGGCTGCACATTGCTCTCCTTCTCCTGATCCACATGCCATGACATCCACACAGCACACACACACACACACACAATCGCACAGTCACAGCCACTCACCCCCACCCGTCATGTCATCATGCAATCGACCGCCTCGGTTTGTGTGCTCAGCCATCCATGCACTTCCTGACTGACCAGTATCTCAGAGAGCCGCTCGCAGAGGAACTTGATTTGGTTCTCGGTGAGCGGTTTACAGTCCAGCAGCTGCTCGATGAACTGATCCACGTCATTGACGCCGTCAAGCGAGCTGAGCGAGGCGAAGCCGCCCAGCGGCGGGATGTGCGCCGGCAGCGGCTCCAGTGGGGGGGACGGAGGGATGCGTGGGTTGGGCACCATACGGGTGCTCTCCTCCGCCACATCAGCACTCATGGTGGCGCCTGCTGCCGATGAAATCCGGTCTCTGTCGTGCGCGGATGTGTTCAAACACAAGAATTCCCGTGAAATCACGTCTCGTAGATCTCTTTGTGTTTGACCCCTCCCGCTCTAAAACTGGGCGCCGAGGACAAATCGCACCATAAGGCAGGAGGATAGCAGGGCGACAGATGGCGCAGCAGCGCCAGTTCAAGGAGGGGGAGCTCCTCGACAAGTAAGCCATTCATCCACCCGGCAGCGCTGTGGGGTGGGATGTGTGGATGATGGATGGATGGTGATGCGTCGTGCCCGTGTCCGTGTGTGCAGGGGGCTGTATCGGTCGCTCACCCCCAAACAGAAAGGTGGGCACACGTGTGCGCTCGGAGAAAGGGCATCCATCCATCGGCAACGAGCGTGTGTGTGCGTATGCGTCACATGGCTGGCTGGCTGGCTGCAGGTCAGTTTCTGCTGCAGCGATGGGACCAGGAGTTCGAGGCCCTGAAGGACCACAACAAGGTCTTCAGGTCCATCCAGGAGTGGCTGGGCCTCGACGAGCCTGTAGATGTCAAGGGCAAACCGCTGCTCGGTATCCAATCCGCATACACCACACACATCACACTCTCACGACGTGTGTGTGGGGCGTGTGCGTGTGTGTGTGTGTGTGTGTGTGTGTGTGTGCACTCTCACTCACTCTCACTCTCTCTCTCTCTGCAGAGTTTGAGCCAGGGACGGTGTTTCCGTACCGTAACGCGATGCTCCTGTTTGGTGTGCACAAGCAGATGGTGGCCGGTATCGCCTTCAGGGACGGCATCTGCACTAGCGTCGTCAGCAACGGAGGATACAAGGGTCAGCTACCGCACACCCACGCACACACATACCCCTCTCACACACACGTGTGCCTATTGCCATATGACATCTCTCTCTGTGTGTGTGTTTAGATGACTGGGACCGCGGTAGTCGTGTGGTGTATGCGGGTGAGGGCAAGGCCGAGGAGGACGACCAGACGCTGTCCAGGGGCAACGACGCGCTGCTGAGTGCCTATGCCAAGGGCGAGAAGATCCGCTTCGTCCGCGGGTACAAGGCACTCTCGCAGTACGCGCCCCCATGGTGAGTGAATGATATACTCAGGACGGGCGGGGTTGAGGTGGGAGGGCATGGAGGTCACACACACACACACACATGCGTCCTGGCGTCCATACTGTGTGTGTGTGTGTGTGCAGGGGGTTCCGGTATGACGGTTTGTTCACCGTGAGGAACGCCTACGTCGACACCACCGTCGAGAGAGGGGCGCGCAGACGCGTCTGGAAGGTCCGTGGCTGGGGGGATGGATGGATGGATGGATGGCTGACCAACACACGCACCTTCCCGATTCCCCGGTTCTCTCTTTAGTTTGTGTTGCAGAGCACCCAGATGGCCGACTACGTGCTGCTTCGCGCTCCCAGGGCCAACGAGGTCCAGAGCTGCCTCCCACCCGCCGGCACAGAGAAGCGCGCACTCGCTGACAGGAACAGCAGCGACTTCATCAAGGAGCAGGTGGGTTCACCCGCCACACCTCACACCCACACACCACACACCACATCAACACAGCCAGCCACAGGCATATTCTTCTCTCTCTGTGTGCAGAGGAAGATGCTCAACAGGGAGCCGACGCGCGCCATCCCGCTGCTGTTCCCGACTCCCGACCACGACGCCGCGGCTGACGCGACCACCCGCATCGCCCACCAGACCTTGCGCCTCACGACGCTGGAGCTGGTGCTGCTGGACCAGCACAACGCCATGAAGCAGCAGATCGAGAAGGTGCTCAGCGGGTACGTCAAGGAAAATGACGAAACCTTCCGTCAGGTGAGGACAAGCAGAGCAGACAGACAGAGAGACAGACAGTCAGGGCGATCCGTTCGCCGCCATCCATCCATCCATCCATCCATCCATTGTGTGTGTGTGTGTGTGTGTGTAGGAGCACGGTGACGAGTCGCTTGACAGGTTGGTGGAGTACATAGACGCGAGCCAGGGGTGGTTCGAGGGCGAGGCGTTCGGTGCCCACGACTTCTTCCCCTACTTGCTGGTGGTGCAGTACAAGGACAAAGACGACAACGTGCAAATGACTGAGATACTGCCCATCCCGAGGACACTCGAGTCTGACGTCCGTACGCCTGTGTGTGTGTGTGTGTCTGTGTGTGTGTGTGTGACGTCACACCGCTCCCCCCAACCACCCACCCACACCCCCACACAATCTGCCCGGAGTGGTTGTGCTGATGTGGGTCTGTCTCTTGCTCTCTCTTGTGTGTGATGTGTGTGTCATCAGGTAGCCTGCACGATGTTCCCCCAGCTGCAGGAGCGTGACGACAACATCAGCATGTCGATTCTCTGCCAGCTGCCGCTCCCCGACTGGGACCCCATGCTCGACATAGCTCAGCGCAGAGAGGTACCCCTCTCCCTCTCTCCCTCCCACATGACATGTGCCCGTGTGTGTGTGTGTGTCATCTGTGTCAGAGTTGCGATGTGCCGGTGGTCAGCACTGACGGCTACGGCGTTGGGGCCGTGCTGAACAACCTGCCCTCCTACATGCCCTACCAGCTGCAGCTGCACAAGCCGCCCGTGATGAACCCGCCGCTCCCACACATCTGCGCCGGGTGCGTCCCGCCTGACAAGAGGGCCATCGCTGAGAAGGAGAAATAGTACGAACGAAAGAATCACCAACCAACGCCCACTACCATCACCGTGGGTGGATGGATGGACGGATGGCCGTGTGTCAGTTGGGACGAGGAGAGCGGCGAGTGGGCGTGGAAGGACGAGGACGGCACGGTCTGCTCCGCGGGGCTCAATACGGACAAGCTGTGGCCGGGGGCGGTGGCCTACTGCTCGGAGTCATCCCCCTGCAAAACGGCCAACGTGGACCATGTCTGCAGCAACTGGTACGGTACGCACCAGACGACACATCCACCCGTCCTCCCACACACCAGCAGAGAGAGGGGTGTTGGGGTGTGTGTGTGTGTGTGTGGTGTCAGGAGCCCTGCTTGGTTGGGCCAGTTGGGCGTGCCGGTGTGCATCTCCCATTCAGACAAGTTGGGGTGGGGACTCGTAGCGCAGGTACACCACACCACACCACACCACACCACACACCCCTCTCCCCCTAACCACATCGATTGCACTTGTGTGTGTGCGTGTGTGTGTAGAGTGCGATAGGTGCGGGTGACTTTGTGGGTGAGTTTGCGGGTGAGGTCATCACGCTGGGCGAGTGGCGTGCGCGGGTGTTGAAGTACGAGAACGACCCCACCGGCGGCAAGTACCAGTACGCCATCAGCGTGCTGCCGTTCGACCAGCTGCCAAAGGGGGCCGAGTGAGGCAGATCCACAGCCACAACCACAGCCACAACCACAGCACATCAGACACACGGGAAGGGCCATGCATCCCCACGCTTGTGTGTGCCATGTCTGTGTGCAGCGCTCTGGCCCCTGCGGTGGACGCCATGTACTTCGGCAACGCAATGCGGTACGCCAACCACTCGTGCGAGCCCAACATGGAGCGCAAGGTCATCTTCTGCGGCGACCCTAGCAAGGGATGCATCCCACAGATCGGTCAGTCAGTCAGTGCATTCATCCATCATATCTGCCATGGGTGCGGTTTCGTTTGCTGGGGGGCTGCTGCGCTGCATATGTTAGGTTTCTTCGCCATTCGAGACATAGAGGAGGGCGAGCCGCTGACGTACGACTACATGTCTGACGGCTTCGGCCGCGCCAAGGGCCTCCAGTGCTTTTGCGGATCCAGCAAATGCACGTAGGCATCACACAACTCACACAGCTCACACACACAAACACGGCCACTCATTGCGTCTCCTCATTGCGTGTCCATTGACTCATGGGTGCAGCGGCACCATCGGCGGCGACCCTCCCACCCGTGACCGCCGCGTGCACGGATCGCCCGCAGCCGCCGCCGCCGCCACTGCCGCATCGGCATCGGCATCAGCATCAGCCTCAGGACAGGACGGCACACAAGACCAACCCGGCAGCAGCAAGGGCAAGGATGGCAAGCCAGCGCCAGCCCCCCCAGCAAACAAGAAGAAGCCCGGCAAGCGCAAGAGGCAGGGCGGCGACGGGGACGGCCCCTACATCCACGACTGGGCGCCGCTGATCGCGGAGCGCGAGGGCGGTTTCCCAGATGATGTGCTGGCGGCGACCAGGGGCAGTGGGCGGGGGCCGTGGGACAGCGACCCCAGGCCGTGGCAGCAGTTTACCCTGGTGGATGAGAAGGACGAGGCCCACAGGCGGAAGAAGGCGCGGCGGGTGTCGGGCGGTGGGGCGGCGAGGATTTGGATGCACGGCTGACTGACAGACAGACAGACACATACATGTAAATAGAGGGGGGACGGTAGACAGAATTAACCGACTGGTTGGTTGGTCAGTTGGTTGGTTGGTTGGTTGGGGGATGTATTGAGATGATTGCCGGGCCGGGCGACTGTTTCCCATGGCTCGAGTGGGTGGTTTGTGCTTGCATAGGTAGCGAGCGATTTGGCGACTGGATGGATGGATGAATGGACGGACGGATGGATGGACGGATGCGTGGATAGCCCTACTCCCAAATCCAAGCACAGCACGCTGTGTTCTGTCTGCCATGGCACCCATGGCAAAACTGTACACACACGCGCGCCGCGCCTGCAACGAATCAATGAGGCTCTCAAGTCAGTCTAGCTTTCTACACACATCCACATGACAGGTATAGGCACACACATATACATGACGGTGGCGTGGCCGGCCATCCATCCATCCATTCGTTCATCCGTCGGCCATATCGACGTCCTGGTCTTGCGCCTGGTCCATCCTGTCGGGCACCTCGCTCTCCCCCTCCAGCCCGAACCGATCGTTGAGCGACTCGGCAATCGACTCAAACAAATCTGCAGGCACCGATGCATCCACACGACACAGACAGCACAATCAATCAGGTGCACGAGCTAGCTAAGCTGGACTGGGTTCGGTGCGGCTGTGTAGTTCTGTGTGTGTTGCTGACGTTTGGACTCCACTTCGAACCGAGGGCCGGGGTGCAGCCACATGTCGTCGGTGTAATGCAGCTCCTGAATGGGCGGATGGATGGATGAATGGATGGATGGATAGAGGGGCACTCGAGTGTCCCTTGAGTGTGTGTGTGCCGACCTGTTCTTTGCTCTGTGGCGGCGCATGCCCCCCTGCCCCTGGTGCCTGGTCGGTGCTCACACGTACCAGATTAAGCTTGCGCAGGTGGTTCAGCGCCTTCGCCACCTGCGGCTCCTTGGCACCTGGCCACGCACAGACAGAGGAGGGAACCAGACACATAGAGACAGACAGACATACAGACAGACAGACAGAGAGCGGCATTCCTTATGTGCCATGTGTGTGTGTGTGTCCCTCTTATGCTGTGGTGTGTTATGTGTTGTATAGGCACTGCACTGCCTGCGTGGCCGCTTGGCTGACCGTCTTCCACTTGGAAGAAGTCTTCTCGCTTCAGCTTGACCAAGGCCTCCTTCACCTCAGCTGCACACACCCATCCGACATCCATAAAACACCTGTCTGTCTGTCTGTATGTGTGTGTCGGTGGGAGTGTGCGTGCGTGCAGAGCCGTACAGAATTTCAGCGGCGCGAGGCCACGGTACATCCAGGGCACCATGAGGCACGAGATGAAGAACCCCCGAGCCAAATGGTCGCTATCTGCACACAGACAGACAGACAGACGGAGCCGACTCGATTGGTTGGGAGGGTGGCAGGGCTGCTCGGCCGATGTGTGGTTACCTTTGGTGACGAGTGCGCTTGCGTGCTTGGGGTTGCTGAAGCAGCTGACCACCACGTAGCGCTTCCCGGACACTTCGGACGCCAACACGCCCCCACCTGATGAATGAGTTGACACAGACAAGCAGGCACACCCAGCCACACGTAGCCGATCCACATGTATGTGTGACCTTGGCACACTCTCTGACGCACGCACCTCACCTGTCTTGATCTCGTTGGTTATCTTTGGTGTGTGTTTGTCAAGGTCCACGATGGTCAGTGCGAGACCCTGCTCCAGCCAGGTGCGGCCACGCTCTGACGAAAGAACGAGCCAACAAGTGACAGAATGAACGAACGACGCGCAAGCATCCGTCCATTCCTCACTGATGGCTGCGTCGAGGTGCCCTCTAGGACTGTTGCCCCGGTCCTGTAACACCTGCACACACCACCCACACACACAAGTTGGACGCACACACATTGTGAGGACGAACTCACGGCGTCTTTGAGCTCGTCGTGTCGGATGATGTGGGGGACCTTGTACAGGCAATATCGCGCCACACGACCTGCCAGGTTGTCCAACTCCTGCAGCCACGCAGTCAAGTCACCAAATGCAGCGGCAGATGGATGGATGAGTTGACATCGGTCATGCACTGCCCTGCACGCACCTCTTTGGATATGCTTCTGGGCTCTGCGACGTCCGCCTCCTCCGGCACGTGGAACCCTGTCACCCGCTCTTCGTTCGCGTAGAAGCCGGCGTTGTACACACCTCCGAGCGAGACCATCCTCACACAAACAGATCAATCAGCTCTACCCTCTTCGTGCATTACGCCATCATGCAGCGCTCCAGTGATGCCTCTGCCGGACCTCCATCGTGGCCATTTCTCCTTGTTCCGGTCTCCTTCATTTGCGAGCTCAGATGTGAGCTCGCGCAGATCTATCTCGAGAGGAAATTGGAGCTTTGCGACTGATATCGGAGAACCATGTGATGACGGAGAGCACACGTGAGCAGGTGCTGTGAGATCATGCGGCGGGAGGGCCATTCGGTCATCTGAGTGAGGCTCGTGCGGTGCTGGTCCTTGAAGCAAGAGGCGTGCAGTCCGCTACTCTTGTGGTTTGAGGATGAGTGTGGAGCTGGTGAGTTTGCCGTCGTCGGAGCGGAAGACGGGGACCTCCCCGAGATTCGGCCCCTTCGGCCTGTCGCACACTCACAGTTCCATGCATCAGCCCGCTGACGGACTTGGACACGGCTGGCGAAGGGTGAGAGCAGAGGACAACGGCGGACACATGACTTGACCCATTGCCAAGAACGTTGCATCGCAACACTGCTTACTTTATTGCCCTGTCGGTTGTGTCTGATGTCTGTCTGTCTGTCTGTTTCTTAGATTCGCATCAATGCTTCCCCCGGCGACGAGGAGGAGGAGCACAACGCGAGCTTCCCTGACAATAATGTCCGCACCAATCGCTACAGGGTGGGTGGGCAAAGGACCGACAGACAGACAGACAGACAGACCGATTGGCTGGTTGGCTGATTGGCGCTCCCCTGTCTGTCTGTGGCGTAGGTATGGAACTTTGTGCCCAAGAACTTGTGGGAGCAGTTCCATCGGTGGGCCAACTGGTGGTTCCTGGTCGTGTCCATCCTGCAGCTGCTGCCGCTCAACGTCTCGCCCACGTCATCGTAAGCCGAGCAGGGAGGGGCCGGGCCGGCACACCTTTAACATTTGCCCGAAGACAGGCAGGCCGCTCGAGGCATGGCATGGCATGGCATGAGTGTGTGTACGTGTGTGTCTTGATTTGATACTTCGGTTCAGATGGGCGACGATCGTCCCTCTGAGTATCGTTTTGTTCGTCACGGTACGTTCGCAGAACTAGGCGGCAGGGCAGCCAGGGGATTATGGCGTGGCTTGCCTGTTTGTCTGTCTGTGGGGGGTCATATATGTCATGTGTGTCAATGAATCCCTCTATCTCTATCAGATGGTGAAGGACGGTTACGAGGATTGGCGTCGGTACAAGAACGACGTCAAGGTCAACAACAGGAAGTGCGACATTCTCGACCCCGAACCAAACTCCAACAAACTGAAACGGGCCAGATGGGCTGACGTCAAGGTCAGTGGGGGCAGTGGGGGAGAGGGGAGGGGAGAGAGATGAGATGGGATGGAGGGGCATGTGTGTGAGTGGAGTGCGTTGGCGGTGGTCGGGATGATTACGGGCACTGAATCTAAGCTGCGCCGGTGGTGCAGCGAGGCATTAGATCTATCGTGTTGATATTATGTATTTCATGCGTGTCAGCTGAACACACCATACCATAAACACTTCACTTACACGCCCATCCCATCGACCCTCACAATGAACACACACTCAGTACTGTGGACTGGACATGGGTGTGTGTCTTGTGTGTGTGTGTGTGTGTGTGGATGGTATGGTGTGTGCAGGTGGGCGACATTGTGCGTCTGGAGGACGGCGACGACGTGCCTGCCGACATGGTCATCCTGGCCACCAACGACCCCACCGAAGGCATTGCCTACGTCGAGACCGCCATGCTCGACGGAGAAACCAGCCTCAAACCAAAAAACGCCGTTGAAGACACCAAGAGTAAGTAATCAACACAGACTGCACTGCTGTTTGTGTGCGTGTTGAATGGATTTGGGGTCTGTCTCGTCCGTCAGCCGAGACGCACGGCACGCTCAAGTCTAAGCGTGGGAAGATCAGCTGCGAGCCGCCGTCAAACCGGCTGGACACCTTTACTGGGACGCTCAAGCTGGACGAGTATCCGCGCAACACGTCCATCGACGCCAAGAACTTCATCCTCAAGGGGTCAAGGCTCAGGAACACCGAGTACCTCTACGGTGTCGTCATCTACACCGGTGAGCCAAGCTGGGCGAGAGAGGAGGGTGTGGGGTGGGCTGGATGTTTGGCACTTAGCTCCCTCACTCGTCTGTCGATGTCGTCGATGTGTGTGTGCAGGGGTGGACACGCGCCTTCACCGAAACTCCCGCCCGCCGCGCAACAAGCGGTCCAAGATTGAGCGCGACGTCAACTGGTACCTCTTCATCATCGCGGCGGTGCTGACCATCATGGTGGCCATCTCGGTGTGGCTGTCCTTCCGGTTCACCGACAAGGAGCCAGAGGTGTTCCTCTACTTCGCGGGCGAGAGCGTCAAACGATACCACGACTGGCTGCGCATCATCACATTCGCCATCCTCTACAACAACCTCGTGCCGATCTCCCTCTGTGTCACCATCGACTTCGTCCGGTTCATCCAGGCTATCTTCATCGAGAACGACCCCGATCTGGAGTACGTCAAGGGGGCGGCAGAGCCTGGGCGCGACGGCAGTCCGGGCGAGTCGACGGTGGTCAAGGCGCAGGCAAGGACGGCCAACCTCAACGACGACCTTGGGCAAATCGAATACGTCTTCTCTGACAAAACCGGCACAATCACAGGTCGGTGAGAGCAGACCAGGGCAGGGCAGGGCAAGGCAGCAATTGACTGACCAGCCCGCTGACTGACACATTTCCTATGTGTGTTGTGTTGTGTTGTGTTGTCCCCCTGTCGCAGAGAACGAGATGGAGTTTGCGATGTGTTCGATAGCTGGCCGCAAGTACGGCAAGAAGGAGAGGATCAAGCTCCCAAGACACCCGCCCCCGCCGCCCCCTTACCCCCACACCCATGCCCATCCCCACCCCCAGCCGCGCGTCGCCGACCCCCTCATCCCAATTCCCATGCCCATGGACGGACAAGACGACGGACCCCCACGAAGCTTTCCCGTCGCCACACAGGCACGCACACGGCCCCGATCCGCAGATAGATCTGCTGTGTGGATGGGCGATGTGTGTGTGTATGTGTTTGTATGTGTTCAGTCTGACGCCGTTGCCTTCGGCAAGTATCAGCGGACGGCCACTGCGCCAGATTTGGGGCTGGCGATGGCTCTCAACCCACGACTCGCGACTCCCCAGGAGGCAGACGAGCTCGAGAGCAGCCACAGCCCCGCGCTGCCCATCTCCCTCCCCATGACCAATGCTGCGTCGGCTTCCCGCGACAACATGGGACTGGAGGAGTACACCCCCTGGCACGATGCGCACGCCCTGAGTCCTTACGACGGCCGCCACTTTGTGGACGACGACTCTCAGGGCCAGGGTAGACGGCCGCCGCACGAGGTCAGCCAGGAGATGATTGACATGGACAACGTGGCGTCGAGGGTGCACTACGCGCTCGACCACGCCGAGGGGGAGGACATCGTCATGCCCGATCACTCCGACCAGATGCCCCTCACCGCCCCACTCAGCCAGGATGACCTCTTCCACTCCTTCGCCCCCGTCCCGCAGCCCTTCGAGGACGACCATTCGTCCGACAGCTCCAGCGAGTCTGACAATCTGGACGATCAGATGCAGGACATCGGCAATGAGGACGTGGGCAATGAGGCCCTGACCACCGAGCCAGACATGGGCGTGTCCTCTCGCAGGGGCGACGGCGAGGACGCCTCGGCCGCCTCGTCGCCCGCCAACTCGGCTGTGCGTCGGTCGGTGCACCATTACACCGACCCGGGTCTGTACACCAGCAGGGAGAGCGACATGTATGACGAGGCGTGTGGGGCCTGCATGGTGGTGGCCCCTGTGGGTGCTGACGGGGGTGGGGGGGAGGTGGTGAACGGGGTGGTACGGGGCAAGAGCCCGCCCTCGCCATTCTCGCAGGGATCCAGGTCAACTAGAGCATGTAAGTGAGAGCAAAAGTGGGAGGGAGGGAGGGACAGACTAGACGCACTGCACTCATCCCCCAGACTGAAGATGCATGTGTGTGTGTGTCTGTGCGTGTGTGTGTGGTCAGCTCCTGCGTCGATCCGGACGCACCCTCGATGCCGCTTCAAAGATCCACGGATACTCAGGTAGCTAGGGGAACCAGAGGCACACGTTCTGTACTGCGCCAGTGCACTTCACTGACTGACCCATCTCATCTCATTTCATCTCAATCCATCTGTGTGAATTCTCTCTCTGTTGTCACACAGGGACCTGGAGGCCAACGACGAGCGCAGCGAGAAGATCGACGCGTTTCTGAAAGTCATGGCCCTCTGCCACACCGTCATCCCTTCCGAGCGGCACCCCGTATCTCGACCAGAGAGCCAGGAGGGCCCCTGCACGCTCTCCCACTGCAATCCCTTCTCCCCCCTCTCACACTCGCGGCGCATGCAGCGGCACACACACGCCGGCCAGGTCAACGCAAACAACAGCACCACCAACGACACCATCGAGCGGGGCCGCGAGCTGCTGACCGAGCGGCTCAAGCAGATGCATCCCTCGATGGCCGCCATCATGCAGCAGCAGCAGGAGAAACACGAACATGACATGGCCGCGACGGGCGGGAGCAATGCGACGGCAGTTGACGTGAGCTCCGCGACCAACGTTGCCAACTTCAGCATGAGTGTGGACTCCCACGTGCTGTCGGCCCAGTACTACGACCAGGAGAAGCCCCGCCCCGCCCCCATCAGGATGGCGAGCAACGTGCACGAGATCCGCAAGAGCTACTTCGACAAGGGCAGGACTCAGTTCCATTACCAGGCCGCCAATCCTGACGAGGAAGCCTTTGTGGTGGCTGCCAGCTGCCTTGGCTACCAGCTCATCCCGCCGCGGACCTCGACCACTCTCACCTTGGACATCCAGGGGGAGCCGCAGACCGTGCAGATCGTGGGGATCAACGAGTTCAACAGCAACAGGAAAAGGATGAGCATCGTCGTCAGGGAACATGGCAAGGAGGGCGCCATGCTCTACTGCAAGGTACGGTGTGGTGTGATGGGATGGGCTGGTGGGTGGATCTCCCTCTCCCTCTCTCTGTGTTTGTCTCTGTGTCTGTGTCTGTGTGTGTGTGTGTGTGTGTGTGTGTGGTGTGTGTGTGCAGG